GGGCACGCGTGGAGAGCCCCTCCCCTCGCACATGCGGGGCGACAGGAGAGACTTTACAATGGCTTACAAAGTCCTTCATCACCTCAGGCCCTTTTATCCGCAGGAGTTAAGCAGGAGCATTTCATCTGTTGCCAAACATTCTGCAAGACCACAAAATACAGAAATCTAATTCTCCACAGAAGTTCAAGTAGGTACCTACAAAGCAACAAGTTAAGGTTGATTCCATGCTGAAAAGAGAAGAGACAAGTGTGACAACTGAAGAAGGCTCTACAGCCGAAACACTGTGTCTGTTTTCTTTCCTTTTCAGCATGGAATCAACCTTTACTTGTTCGGTTATTCTCCATGCAGGAATGCAGACACTGTAGGCTCTTAAGTCTCACTTGAAAAGAGTTTTCAAGGTGCTTTTGTGTAACTTACTGCTACGGGATCGGACTTTTGTCACGACCTCTGTAGGATTTTCAAGAGCAGTGGCATGGCTCAGGAGGGGTGCAGTACATTGCAAAATTCTTGCAATAATTTTGCAATGTGCAGCTTAGAAGAATGCAGCTATTTCCTGAAAAGGCATTAAGCGCAGATAACAGATAACACATAATACTGACACTGACACGACAGCCTTGCCATTTTAAAAAAGGCACTCCCAAAATGAATGCAATTTTTCCACAACACTATTAAATCAGTCAAACATGCAACACACTTCCACATGACCGTACACATCAGGCCCTGCGTGACGCACACAGCCAGACTCCCCGAGCTAGATGCATTTATATGGGCTCCATTATGGATTGTCTGCAGCTTATCGCTGTTTCCTTATCGACAGACAACAAGGCAGAGCTGTGCAGCTCAGCCACGACAACCTGAACCAAACCCTCTGCCCCACCGGTACTACCGGTCTTACCGGTAGTGGTCCACCTGGTTGATGACCAGGATCTTGTGGCGGATCCTCTTCTTGTTGAGGAAGGCGTGCATGTAGGGCACGAAGACCAGCAGCTCCTCGAAGCGCTCCCTGAACGGGACGAGGACGGCCAGCTTGTGCGGACCCCAGGAGGGGTCGTCGGCGGGGGGCGCCGGCCGGTCCGGCGGGCAGGGCTGGCGGGGCAGGGCGCCCTCCTCCAGCCCCGGCCTGCCCATGTCTCCGGAGCAGCTGAGCTGCAGCCACAGCAGCGAGCCCAGGACCACCACCAGACACAGGCAGAACAGCTTGAAGACGTTGCACTTCCTGGCCAGGAACCTGCGCAAGACAGCAGAGCACACAGAGCGCTGCAGCATTCACCTCTGTCCGACAGCCCAGGCCTGCCACTTCTTTCTTCCTCTCAGCAGCACACACACACCACACCACGTTTAGAACAACCAAGCCAATGCAAAAAGGTGTGCCCACAGCTGGCCACACTGGAGGTCATTACATTGCTTAAAAAGAAAAACTAGCCAGGTACAGTATTTTTGTTTTTTGCATTGCATGCACAATACTCTTCACATTTTTGTGCCCAGCTAATGAATCGAATGAATGAATGAATCCCTCAAGATCATTTCAAATCCGACGTGCAATCACTGGATTCAGCACCATCAACGTTTTCTCTTTCTAGGACAGGCACAGGCACCCCGGGGTCCTTGAGAGCTGCCTTTGCTTCTGGTTTTCAGGCCATCTCACACCGTGATGACGTCCCCGCACCGCTCAGCTGTGTTTTCCAGGGCTTAAGCAGGCGTAACTTGAAAGACGCCTCTGGAGCAGGGGTGTCAAACACAGCTCTCGGAGTGCAAGGCGTGTCCTGGTTTCCATTCCAGGCAGAGCTCCCAGATGCACGGCAAATCCGATTACTTTACCTACTGCCTGACGGTCGGATTTCTGACCTGGCCCCACGGTGCTTTATGGTTGGGTGTACTTCTGAAGACGTGAATGTGATGAAGTGACTGTTTTGGGTTAGACATTGTAAAAGACCTTAAGAAACAACCCTACAGGTGTCAAAGTAAAATAACCAGGCTCATATTTAATTGATAAATGGGGTTGGATGAAAATGGGGAAGACAATATTCCCTCCAGGAGCTGAGTTTGAGACCCCTGCACCCACCCCTGACACAGAGCTGGTCTGGCCATAAAACACGTCGTTCAGACGTCTTGAATGGCGCCACTGTGCAATTTAACAGCCATAGGCTACATTCAGCACGCTGTCACCAACTCCGATTGAGGAGAAAACCAACAACAGTTCATGCCGAAGTGCTCAAGCGCTGTCTCCAGGAAAAAGCTTAGAGTGGGAATACCGCAGAAGCAGATAAATTCAATATAACTTTCCGCGTTAATGGCAAAACGTATACTGTTATCGCCTGTTCCTTTGACAAAAGGTGTGGGTACTTTCCGAATACGTGCGGTTTTCAGCTTTGGACCAGAACGGGTCACAACTTGTTTGACTCGTTTCACTTTCTTAAAGATTTTTTTTTTTCAGTGCGCCCAAACAGCAGAGCTTGTTCAATATTCATGAGACACAGATTCAGAAAGTTCATTTTCCAGTGCTATCACCACCCACTCCGCTAACTTCGGGTTTTATGAAATTGCGTGGTAAGAACATAAAACGATTTGCATGAATGTGGAGTCGACACAAAAAAAGTGATATAAATAACTTCGCACGCCTCTGCGGAATTCCGAATTTAAGAACAGATCACGAAACTAAAAGTGTACGACCCTGCTTTCAGGTATGCTGTGCAATGCCAGTAGACACAAAAGTCAGGCATATCGTTTTACTTACAAAGGACGCCCCTGAGGCGCTACAATCCTTTGGCTTTGGCATCGGCTACGAAACAAGTTAACAAAAATACACAGAGAACAAAAGAACTATACTCCGGCGATATGGCAAGAGAAACAAAAGGAATAACAAACATAAGCAATAAAACGTGATCTCCGCACCACTGTCTTCAACTTGAAAAGTGTCCGAAATTTCAAGATATTAGAAATCGGGCTTCTTAGTATGAAGCCATACTTAAAAAGCCAGCCTGGCCAGAGGTGAGAGAAACTGCAGTGCCAAATCATATTAGGAACCGGTCACATCAACCACCGTGTACCCCCATCCTTGCCTTCCAACAGTTTATTTAATAGTAGTTTCTTACAAAAAACAGCAATTAATTCAGTTGTTTCGATGCAATGCACTCAATGTTCGGACTGTGGCAGAACCCAACACGCCCCCAGGCTAGAGGACTGTCCTTACCGTCTGTCTTCTTTGAAATAAAGCACAGGCTTTCTCCGGGATGAGTACATCATCTCCGCTGACTTCGAACTTGACCGCCCTGTAACTCGCTTTCCGAAACGGGAGCAGGGTCACTCCTTGTAATAAGCACCACTGCTAGTACTGCTGCCTAAAAGTATCGGGACACTTATCGGCGACCTCTTTTTTTTCTAAAGCTGAACTTGTCCATTTCTGTGGATTTCCTTTTCTTTTATCATTTGAAAGATTTGTATCTCCTTCCGTTTGCCTTCATATTTTTGTAGTCACCAAACGTGTTCCTCTTTGTGACAACGCCACGGTAGCATTATGAAAGAAACGTACATTTACTCGCTGAATGAGACATTTTCTTCTCCATCTAAGAAAGAAATAGGTGTCTTGACAGCCATAACTTTATACCATTTCCACATATTACATTTAAATTCACTTACACATATGCACCTAATCTGTTATACTGATACTGATCGAGAAATTTCGACGCGTCCAGCGAAACACTACGATCTGACTCAAATCATATGGAATTACATTATTTTCCTTTTTTTTAACAAACGCAATTTTATTCCACAACACCTAATAATTGACGGCAATTCTACACGCTGGCTGATTTCAACTGCATTCCATCTGAACTCTGTCCCTCCCGGAAACCCGGAGTAGTACACAAAGGTTCCTAGTACGACAGGACTCGATCGACTAAAACACGCGTTAAATCTTTACCCAACGAAATGCTACACAATTAAACATATCTCCTGCGACTCTCCTCATTTTGTGCGTTTGAAGAAATAAGGAAGAATTGTTCCGGACACGCAATACGTATAAGCTTTTGTCAAACAACATTAGGACTGCTCCGTTTAAGTTCGATTTCTTCAAAGAAATGAAGACATGAAGATGAGAAAGATCCAAAGAGAGCAGCATACACTCGAGTATGTGCACGCACGTATAATTACACGCATATTATTTTCAGACATGAAAAAATGCAACAAACTTCAGGACAACGTGGACAACATACAGTACAAAATAGATACCAATATTGAGTACCAATAGATAAGTACGTTTCAATAAAGCAAAACAACCACAGAAACTGAGTATAATGAAGCTATACACTATACTAGCAAAATCTAGTTATGATTAATAATTTATGAGGGTGCCTTTTGCTTTAGGCAAAGCAACAAGAAAACACTTAGGTCGTGCATGTGAGAAACTGACCCACAGATCCAACCCAGCAGCTTCCTAGAAGAAGCCTGGGTATCAGCTTCTACAGCATGGCTGGGTAGCTTGTCCCACACTCCCACAACTCTATGTGTAAAGAAGAGGCTCCATTACTTGGTTTTAAGTGCACTTTCACACTGTGATTTGGTTTTGGATGTGATTTAATTCACTGGGATGCTAGAACGTATGTGAAGGAACTACAATAGTGAGATTTAAATCTCAGAACATACCTAATAAATGTACCTGAGCTTTAGAACTCCTAAAATTAGGACAGATACAGGACTGTTTGGCATGTCTAACGTTAACCAAACATAGTAGTGAATACCATGTGCTTTGAAAATATAAAAAACCACAAGGACAATGGACAAGAGATTTTTATTTCTCAGTGCATCAAAAAAAAATTCATGAATAGAAGTTTCAGGTTTACAAAGGAAAATGTGGACAAAACTTTGACTAAAACCCATTGTCTGCATTAATTAATAGTTTTTGGGAAAAACCCAAACAGAACAGTAATGAAAAACAACCAAGCTGAAGTCTACCAACATACAACATTTAAGAGCCCAGTGGTTTTAAACATTTCATGAAGCTAAAATAAAAATAAAAAATTGAAACAACTGCCATTTCACAGAAAATCAATCCACTTCAAGTTCTGTGACACGTTCTTATAAAAACAATACTGATGATACAGAAAAACAAGTGTTCAACAGTATTGCAATTTCAGGTCTGTTCATATCTAAATTAGGGAAAAACCCGATGGTTCCTTAAATACAAGCTTGCAGTTCCAAAACTCAGTTCTTATCTTATTTTGATTTGAGTCTTAATTTTACGCCCGAAAATGTATGTTATTTCTTAATCTGTCCGAGCAATCTTGTTACTTGAGTGGAAAAAAAAAGGAGAAAAACAATTTGGGAGCAGTAAATAAAAACAGCACTTGAAACATCTGTATACAGACAAACACGAAAATCTTCAAGGAATCTGGATGTTTATTAAACCACGTCAAGAAGATGAATAAAAAAAGATTTAGAAAGTATGTCTCACACTATAGGACCACGGCTTGTGACGAACACAAGACTGGGAGTAAACATGAACTGGAGAGGTCTCTCATCACTAGTGTCCTCCCACCCAGTCTAAAGGCTTGGAGTTACAACTGCACATCTTTCCAGACCCTGCTTTATTCTAGAAAACTGTTCATGGAGGAGCAAAGCAGTGAATGCCGGACAGATTTGGAGACAGCATACAAATCCCATAATCTTCCAAGCCAGATCACAAAGTTAAACCTGCTATTCTTTACAGAAACAAATCAAACACATAAACAGAGCACTATAAAACAATCACTTTGATTCAAATCTAATCTAGGGCTGCCAGCGTCATCTGAGAGATTGAAATGACACCTTATCCAGACTTAAACCCTTGTAAAAACAAAACAGCACCTAAGAACTAAACTGTAAATCAAAAGAAAGGAAATGAAGGAAAGAAATGTGAAATTCAAAGATGCATACTACTTAATAAAAAGAAACAAGGTGAAGGTGGGTAACAGTAGCAATCAGAAAACCCATTACTGCATTAGGTATCATACTGCTGAGTAATGTACCTGAAAAGCACTTGGAGTAACTGCCTACTAAAACAGACTCCCAGATCCTTATACTCTAATCTCTGTACTACC